TGGTTTAGTCCTGGTTTAGTCCTGGTTTAGACTCCTGTGAAGCTGCTGTTTGAGGGGAGCTGAAGTGTCTGAGGCGTGTTAGAGCCAAAGGACAGAGCAGAGGGACCAAGAATCTATGAGTCTGTGCAAAATGAAATCAAACCTATTCTGCAAACTGAACTTTTCACCATGTTCAGTGTTGGAGTAACAGATTACATGTACCGGCGTTACGTAATCAGAATACTAATTATGAGTAACTGTATTTGGTTAGGCCTTTAACGATAATCAATAAATCAATTAATCGTACGATAACTTGTAACGAGCTCAATAACTTTTCAGGCCGCAATAAATTCTATTTGCATGCTTGTTTGTTTTTCTGGTCTCTCTCTCGCTCTACACCAAAGAGAATGAATGTCAAAAGGCTCTCTGACTCCTCTCGTTTAATTAGAGTAATGACCCTTGAATGAATGTGCCAGCGTAGACTAGATGGATTATTTGTTTATCAGCACAGTGGATGCGCGCGCAGCCTGAGTGCAGAAAGCGCTGCTGTCTGTGTGGCTAAACATGAAGCCACAACACAAGCACCACCATCAGAACCAATACAGATCATCTCTGTGTGTCAAAACAAGTCACGATGCCAAATCAACACCAGTGAGTGGGATATGTCTCAACATATGTCAAATGCAGCGAGCGCCAAACGAGAAGAAATAAGATCAAACCCCAACAGCCAGCAAACACCCAAACCCGAGCAACACAACTAGCCCCGCCCCCGGTAGAGCCCGAGATCCATTGAAATCCCACAAGAAACCGACAGGATACCAGACAGGACAGCGGCTCCCTCATATCGAAATAGGATCATGTGTCGCGGGTTAATACAAACACTTTGTACCACAGCAGCAGGTACAGAGAGAAGAGCCACAATATTCCAGTGAAAGTCAATGACTAAAATCATTTTTAAGGGCAATTTGTTGTCTTATTGTTCCTGTGTTAAATGTTCTTTAGAAAATAAGGTTTATTGATCTTTGAAAGGGTGTATTTGCATTTTTATTCCATGGTCATTATATTAGTTGAAAATGGTCTCAAAATGTCAATATTATTGTTTATTGCAATAATTTCTTGGTCAATTAATCATCCAGCAACAGGCCTATATTCAGTTACAGTTACTGTTTCAGTGAGTGGTAATTGGATTACAGTTACTTTGCTGAAATAAATGGATTACACGGCGGCATTTTCCTGTTTTCACATTTTGGGCTGTATCCCTTTTTTTATGATTATTTTGGTAATTCAACTCATTGCCAGAAACCCTAACAAAACACGCGCAATACGAGCTACGTAAACGTCTTGTTAAAGACGAGGTCGAGGAGCCAGTAGAACAGAGCCAACACATCACTTTGTATTTAAAGAAGAGATGGACCACACCTCCTCCTGCGACCCTCTAAACCAGGACTAACACCAGGACTAACACCAGGACTAACACCAGGACTAACACCAGGACTAACACCAGGACTAACACCAGGACTAACACCAGGACTAACACCAGGACTAACACCAGGACTAACACCAGGACTAACACCAGGACTAACACCAGAACTAACACCAGGACTAACACCAGGACTAACACCAGGACTACCAGGACTAAAACCAGGACTAACACCAGGACTAACACCAGACTAACACCAGGACTAACACCAGGACAACTAAACCAGGACTAAACCAGGACTAACACCAGGACTAACACCTGGACTAAACCAGAACTAACACCAGGACTAACACCAGGACTAAACCAGGACTAACACCAGGACTAAACAGGACTAACACCAGACTAACACCAGGACTAACACCAGACTAAACAGAACTAACACCAGGACTAAACACCAGGACTAACACCAGGACTAAACCAGGACAACTAACCAGGACTAACACCAGGACTAACACCAGGACTAACACCAGGGACTAACACCAGGACTAACACCAGAACTAACACCAGGACTAAACCAGGACTACCACTAAACCAGACTAACACCAGGACTAACACCAGGACTTAACACCAGGACTAAACCAGAACTACACACCAGGACTAACACCAGGGACTAACACCAGGACTAACACCAGGACTAACACCAGGACTAAACCAGGACTAACACCAGGACTAAAACCAGGACTAAAACCAGGACTAACACCAGGACTAAAACCAGGACTAAAACCAGGACTAGGACTAACACCAGGACTAACACCAGGACTAACACCAGGACTAACACCAGGACTAACACCAGGACTAACACCAGGACTAAACCAGAACTAACACCAGGACTAACACCAGGACTAAAACCAGGACTAACACCAGGACTAAAACCACCAGGACTAACACCAGGACTAAAACCAGGACTAACACCAGGACTAAACCAGGACTAACACCAGGACTAAACCAGGACTAACACCAGGACTAACACCAGGACTAACACCAGGACTAAAACCAGGACTAACACCAGGACTAAAACCAGGACTAACACCAGGACTAAACCAGGACTAACACCAGGACTAACACCAGGACTAACACCAGGACTAACACCAGGACTAAACCAGACTAACACCAGGACTAAACCAGGACTAACACCAGGACTAACACCAGGACTAACACCAGGACTAAAACCAGGACTAACACCAGGACTAAAACCAGGACTAACACCAGGACTAAAACCAGGACTAACACCAGGACTAAACCAGGACTAATACCAGGACTAACACCAGGACTAACACCAGGACTAAACTAGAACTAAAACCAGGACTAAAACCAGGATTAAACTAGGACTAAAACCAGGACTAAACCAGGACTAAAACCAGGACTAAACTAGGACTAAAACCAGGATTAAATCAGGACTAAAACCAGGATTAAACTAGGACTAAAACCAGGACTAACCCAGGACTAAAACCAGGACTAAACCAGGACTAAAACCAGGACTAAACCAGGACTCACTTCAGTAACTTCAGTAACTTCATGGATTACGTTACAAACTACATTTTAGTGTATGTAATCTGTAATCTGTAGGGGAATACATCTGAAAAGTCACCTTCCCAACACTGCCCCTGTTAGAGTCGTGTCGTGTCTGAAGTTGTACGTGGAGTGCTTGGTGCATGTCTGAGTCATCTTTAATCTCTTTATTTTCGTGCCTCCATGTTGCTGTTCTGTTCCCCACACCCTCTGACAACTGTACTCTGTGTGTCACATTTAAACATGTTTGACTCAAACTGGGAGAAGTCACTCTGACATTTAGCTCTGAATCACATCCACCTCCCACTGAACAGACCGAGAACTGAGGCTAAAGCAGGTCTACAGCAGGTCTACAGCAGGTCTACAGCAGGTCTACAGCAGGTCTACAGCAGGTCTACAGCAGGTCTAAAGCAGCAGCAGGTCTACAGCAGGTCTACAGCAGGTCTACAGCAGGTCTACAGCAGGTCTACAGCAGGTCAGAACCAGGTCTACAGCAGGTCTACAGCAGGTCTACAGCAGGTCTACAGCAGGTCTACAGCAGGTCTACAGCAGGTTTACAGCAGGTCTACAGCAGGTCTACAGCAGGTCTACAGCAGGTCTACAGCAGGTCTCAGGTCTAACAGCAGGTCTACAGCAGGTCTAGCAGGTCTACAGCAGTCTCTAAAGCAGGTCTACAGCAGGTCTACAGCAGGTCTACAGCAGGTCTACAGCAGGTCTACAGCAGGTCTACAGCAGGTCTGAACCAGGTCTACAGCAGGTCTACAGCAGGTCTGAACCAGGTCTACAGCAGGTCTACAGCAGCAGGTCTGAACCAGGTCTAAAGCAGGTCTTATGTTCTGTGTATTACGGCTCTGTCAGTCGAACTGCCAAACTGTTGGTCAGTGGATCAGACCGCTCTACCAATGATGTTTATGTTGAGAGCGGGACTTGAACCACCAACCTGCAGAACAGTGGACATCTTCAGATATTATTATACTTCCATGGTCAGGTCTAAACCAGGTCTTAAACAGGTC